TTTACTGTGTTTCACTATTATTGTGGGAGCAGATTAGTGTCACGGGTTTGCAATATTTAATATTCATCATCTAAGATAAATTCTTATAAGCGTAGTTAGTGGAAAAAAAAAAACTACTCTTACTACTTCTGGGAAAGGAAAGAACCCTACCAATTACCACACAAGGTTATTGCCTAAGTTTTAATTATTCGAAAAAATTAAAAACAGAACAGTTGATAAGTAAGTTACCAGAAGTGCCAGAGCCTGACAGGTATTTCTTTGAAAATACTTCTTTTTTTTTTTTGTTAACTTAGTGAACAGTATTTTTTTTTTTTAATTTCACCAAAGTGTTCAGTAAAATAACGAAAGTAATGATGCTAATTTATGGCTAAACTTATGAATGCAGAATCCCAAAGTACCATTTAATCATTCTTTTTGTCCACGTGCTTTTCAATTACATAGTGTATTTAAAAAATATATATTGACTCTTCATGTTGTAAGGCTTTTATTTGGAAATTTTCATTTAATGCAACTCTGTAAGTACATTTATTTATAAAGTTTAGTGTATTTATTAGAATTTAAAGGAGACTGTAAGCTTTAGTAATTTAAAAATTACTAAAGTTTCTTAGCATTCATTGCCAGCAAACCTTCCCAGCCTATTAAAAGTGAATTGCAAACAGCACAGGAGAGGTGAGCTCCCATAAGCTGTGGCTGGCATCGGTCAGCTTGTGTTGCATTTTAAAGATGGCGCGTTCTATTCTTTGTATTTTTTCCAAAATTAACATTATAGCTTTTTCTTTACTAGAAAATTACTTCTATTAAAAGACTAGTGTCTTCAAATATGGTCTCTCCTTTTTGCTATTTGTATTTATATGATAACATTTGAGTACTGGGTTAATGTAATTTGGCTTTTTATTTCTTTTATTTTGACAGTTTATTTCTTAGTGTATAAGTTATAAAACTTCATCAGAAAATTTAAAAACAATATGGTATCTGATTTTCAGGTACACGTTTATTTATATAAGTAATATAAATATATGCATATCAATAATATTACCGTTCTATAAAAATATACTTGCATACTAGGAAACCTATTTTTCATTAAAATGTACACATTTTTAAGTACAAGTGTAGCCCAGAAAATGGCGGGGCACGAAGTATGCGTGGGCCCAGCTGGAACCCCCAGGCAGCGCTGCCTGCCTGTCTGCACGCTGTGCGGGACACACGTGTAGAAGAAGGAAGGTGTCCTAGGTGTCCATATACATGAGCTGTCAGCAACACCTTTAAAATGATAGAAGTTTTTTATTGTTGAAAGTTCTACAGGTGCCCCCCTTTCCCCCCATTGGCGCCCTCCTCCCCACTCCCACCTCCCCCTTATCCCCCTCCCCAAACTAATGTCTGTGTCCATTGGTTGTGCATATGTGCATATAAGTTCTTTGGTTTATCTCTTCTCACCCCCACCCCCCATCCCTTACATTTTATATTTTGCAACGATAGTTTTGGCAGAACATTTTTATGTACAAAAGACTTGAATAAGGTTCCAAACTTTCACGTACCCTCATTAGTGTTGTTCTTCACAGCAGACAGAGGCGTGGAGCAGGTGCAGCACTGGCTGGGCCCTCTGGCTGCAGACGCGGCCCTCTGGCTGCAGACCCGGCCCTCTGGCCGCAGACACGGCCCTCAGACACGGCCCTCTGGCTGCAGACACGGCCCTCTGGCCGCAGACACGGCCCTCTGGCCGCAGACACGGCCCTCTGGCTGCAGACACGGCCCTCTGGCCGCAGACACGGCCCTCAGACACGGCCCTCTGGCTGCAGACACGGCCCTCTAGCCGCAGACCCGGCCCTCTGGCCGCAGACACAGCCCTCAGACACGGCCCTCTAGCCGCAGACCCGGCCCTCTGGCCGCAGACCCGGCCCTCTGGCCGCAGACCCGGCCCTCTGGCCGCAGACACGGCCCTCAGACACGGCCCTCTAGCTGCAGACACGGCCCTCTGGCCGCAGACACGGCCCTCTGGCCGCAGACACGGCCCTCTGGCCGCAGACCCGGCCCTCTGGCCGCAGACCCGGCCCTCTGGCCGCAGACCCGGCCCTCTGGCCGCAGACACGGCCCTCTAGCTGCAGACACGGCCCTCTGGCCGCAGACACGGCCCTCAGACACGGCCCTCTAGCTGCAGACACGGCCCTCTAGCTGCAGACACGGCCCTCTGGCTGCAGACACGGCCCTCTGGCCGCAGACGCGGCCCTCTGGCCGCAGACACGGCCCTCTGGCTGCAGACCCGGCCCTCAGACACGGCCCTCTAGCTGCAGACACGGCCCTCTAGCTGCAGACACGGCCCTCTGGCTGCAGACACGGCCCTCTGGCCGCAGACACGGCCCTCTGGCTGCAGACCCGGCCCTCAGACACGGCCCTCTAGCTGCAGACACGGCCCTCTAGCTGCAGACGCGGCCCTCTGGCCGCAGACGCGGCCCTCTGGCCGCAGACACGGCCCTCAGACACGGCCCTCTAGCTGCAGACGCGGCCCTCAGACACGGCCCTCTGGCTGCAGACACAGCCCTCTGGCCGCAGACACGGCCCTCTAGCTGCAGACACGGCCCTCTAGCTGCAGACACGGCCCTCTGGCTGCAGACGCGGCCCTCTGCGTAATGTGCGCTCGCGGCCGTACCCTGTCGCGTGCTTTGTGCCTTCGCCCATTCCACATCCTCCAAAGAGACCGTCCTGCAGTTTCCCTTCTTTGCTTGGCTTATACCTGTTCGTCTGCTGAATTCGGCTCATTTTATCACATGTGTGTTCGTTCTTTCAACAAACATTTATTGGGTGAACAGTATATGACAATACTCAGATCTTTATTTACACACACACACACGCACACACTGAGAAAGTGGGAGAGAACCCCAGACCTCCCCTCCCTGAGTTAGAGACGAGCGGAGAGCAGACAGGAGCAGTGAGGGGCATGGGCTCCAGCACATCCGCCTGGGCGCTGAGGGGGGAGAACCAAGGACCCTACCCTGCTCACCCCGTGCCGGGAGCCGCCAAGGGGAAGCCACGTTCTGCTCTCCGTCAGGTACCTACAGTGCTCATACATACCTGTATCAGTGTACATGTTTAAGACACTATGTGGTTTTCTTGTACGATTCAGATTCATACAATAAACAGTCACCCAACCAAGGTTTACTAAACAAATGGATTAATTTGATTTGATGTTTAGAAGAGCAGATGGATTTCTTCCTCAGATTGTGGCTTGTTGTCCTACTTTAAAGTCACATCTGCAGTCGCTGTAGAGAGTGGGTTCCATTCCAGCTCGACCCTGGCCGGCGAGCAAGATGACGCAAGCAGAGCTGTCACTGCTGGGTCCGGCGGCGCACGGTGACTGCCACTGCACGCCAGGGACGGCGCTGTTTAGTGGGGACTTGAACAGAAAGGTGCCCGAGATCAGATGGTAACACACTTCTACGAAGCAGCTTAACCACTGAAAGTTTTCTTTGGGCCTGTTTTTTAAACAGCGACTCTCTTAGTCTCATCCAAGAGGCTTCAGTGCGGGTATGCGCTGAGCCCGAGCTGTGCTCCCCCGAATGCCCACATTCCCGCCGAGCTCAGTGTAGGGCCTGAAACACTGCTCCTCCGTCAAAGAACCGCGCCAGTGAAACAGCGATGCAGCCTGAGATGCACGGCCCTTCGCTGCCGCGAAACGACATAATGCAAACGAAGGTAGCACCCTGGCGGTGTGGCCCAGCGGTAGAGCACCGGCCCTGGACCGAAGACTCGCGGGTTCGAGTCCGGCCAGGGGCATGTACCTCAGTTGCGGTTTGTCCCCGGCCCTGGTCGGGTCCTGCCAGAGGCAACCAATCCATGTGTCTCTCTCCCATCAATGTTTCCCTCTCTCTGTCCCTCCTCCTCCCTCCCTTCCTTCCACTCTATCTAAAAATCAATGGAAAAACATCCTCAGGTGAGGATTAACAAAAAACAAACAAACAAAAGAAAATTTATGAACTTACAGGAGGGGGAGAAAAGGGGTAAGCCCTGGACAATTTGGCTCAGTAGTCAGAGCGTCGGCCCGAGGACCAAAGAGTCCGGGGTTCATTCTGGTCAAGGGCACGGACCTCGGTTGCAGTTCATCCCCATTGGGTCGTGCGGGAGGCAACCAATCGATGTGTCTCTCATGTCATGTTTCTTTCTCTCTCTCTCTCTCCCTCCTGACCCCCATCTGAAGATAAATGGAAAAATATCCTCGAGTGAGGATTATAAAAAAAGGACATGACATCTGCCTCTGTACTTTGTTATACTGGCCTCAGCGTGCTTTTGCAAATTCTCTACACTGATTTTTTTTTAATTTTATTAAATTTATTGTGGTGATGTTGGTTAATCAGATTATATCAGTTTCAGTGTATGTTTCTGTGATACATGATCTGTATATCTACATTGATTCTTGATACGAGCTCAGTGTTCTCTGAACTGAACGTAATTCCCCGATCTGTGCTCAGCTCAGCAGAATGCCATCACGGAACCGCGGGTGGGCAGTCAGCAGGGGCCTCCTCCGTGCCCACCTCCAGGGTCCCTAGCCGGGAAGACTCGGGTTCCGAGGTGCACTCTGACCTTCCTCAGAGTGAGCAGAAGGGCGATGGAGTGTGAGGCAGCAGCGTGGCGGGTCGTGGGCACGCCCGGAAGCGGCATTTGCCCCCTCTGCCCACCTTCCGCTGATCAGCACCAGCCCCGTGGCTGTAGCCACTTGTCCCGGGGACTGAGAAATGGCTGAGCCCAGGGAGAAGGGAAACCAGTTATGACAGACCACGGTCTCTACCCAAGCTTATGATAGAAAATGTGATTGTACTTACTCATGAATTATTATCGAGTGAATTCACTTGAAACATGTCGTTATGAGTGCTTTTGAGTAAACAGAAACACAGTTCAATGAGCAAAGTTACTTTTCTTCTAAAATTCAGTAGTTGTATATCTGTTGTGAGAGCAGGACTATTTCATACCCAGTGGGCGTATAAAGATGACCACTTCTGCCTCTGTTCCAGGACGGACGTACAATGACCTGAACCAATACCCCGTGTTTCCATGGGTCCTAACAAACTATGAGTCAGAAGAACTGGACTTGACTCTTCCAGGGAACTTCAGGGATCTCTCAAAGGTAACTTTTAAACGTATGGAAGTCAATTTTCCTCATAAGGCGATATCCCAAAGACACTTCTGCCCGAGGACGTCTATGCAGTTAGTGTTTGTAATACAGTCAGCCTGGTTGTCGTCTTTTCTAGTCAGCATCTCACCTCGTCAGCTCTGGCATAGGCCTTGAGCTACAAGAAGATAAATTAGTACTAGTGTAGACAAAACAAAATGGATCTTTGAGAAAGAACAGTGTAGGGAAAGGTTGCTCCGATATCCTATGTTCTAAGGGTCAAGGTAAGAAACCTGAAATAAGTAAAAAATAAAATAGCAAATTATTTCTGTGATCCATTTCTTGGGTGAAACGACATGAAATCTTGACCATGATGCACACACGTGCACACACACACACACACACACACTGTAGGGGAGCTTCATGGTGAAAAGAAGTTGGGTACAATAGTTTATCAATGGTCTGGTAAGATATGGCCCCAAAACTGGGCGGAAAAAACACATAATGGAGGATAAGAGTGAAAAGTAAATTTTGGGTCCGTTCGCCTGCTTTGTCCAGAGGAAGTCAAGCGGATAATGAACTGTGAGGTGCAGTGAAGAACTGGGAGCTAGTTGCTCTGCGGGCGAAGAAGGTTCAGAGCCGCGGCGGCCTCCGCCCACCCGTGTGCGCCTCTCCCGTCGTCCTGGTGGTGTGCTCACATTCCACTGCGGTCAGACGACGCGCATGTTTGGTTTCGGGGGCGGGGTTTGAAGAGCTGGTGGCTAAGGGGCGCGACGCCCTGTGCGATGGAGAAATGTGCCTTGTAACCAAGGTAAAACTGATCACAGGCTGTTTCTAACTCAGCAACCTCCACTCGCCTCTCTCCCTGCCTTTGGAAACTAGGCTTTCCCAGCCGGAGTCCTGTATTCCTCTACTTACTGGCTGTGTGCACCAGAACGACTCTTTAGCCTCGGTTTCCCCATTGTATCGTGGGAGTGATGGTTCCTCCCTCGCAGGGCTGGGGAGACCCGATGGCGTGTACATGTGAGAAGGGTGCACAGCACGCGCACAGAGAGGCGCGTCCGGACTGCCGGCTGCCCTGCCAGCCAGGGAGCGCGTCTCACCTACTTCGAGGCTGCCTGCGAACTCCGCGTGTCCTCGCCCTCCGCTCTCGTTCTTTCCGTTCATGCGCATTTCTCTCCAGTCCCGCCTGCACGCATCGCTGATTTCAGTGATGCCGCCACAGGTACGCAAGGGACCTACGGGACCAGTTAGCCACCATCTGACTGAGAATCTCAAGGTGATAAAAAATAACGCTAGCAATTAAATTCCAATTCGGCTGCAAATATTGTAATTTTTCCAGTGTAATTGAAGTGAACGAGAATCTTCACCCATTTACCACATGCAGATGACTATCAGAGTGGGGTAGGTAGGCACGTCTAATTCATGGGGCCTTTCCTCCAGGAGCAAACCCAGTTATACACTCCGGAGGGAGAGCGGACTCTGCAAAGTGAAACAGTGGGGAGCTGTGTTAGGAGAGCCCCCTGGGGGCCGATGAGGAGGGACGGACAAGAACGCCAGCTCTAGGATCAAACCCTGACTCTGCCGTTCATTGGCTCTGGGGACTCAGACACCGTTATTTCATTTCTCTTTGCCTCACTTTCTTCACCTCTGTCACGGGGCCATAATAACAGGGTTGTTGTGAGGGTTCGATGGTTAACACATGAGAGGAACGTGGTCCGTCCTGCAGGACCTGTGAAGAGGGTGTAGGAGATCCTGGATAGGAGCATGTGCTGAGTCCTCCCCGGACCGGAGCTGCCCTGGTGAATGGTGTGCATTGGACACAACTGGCCGAGGCTGAGTCCTCCCCGGACCGGAGCTGCCCTGGTGAATGGTGTGCATTGGACACAACTGGCCGAGGCTGAGTCCTCCCCGGACCGGAGCTGCCCTGGTGAATGGTGTGCATTGGACACAACTGGCCGAGGCTGAGGTGTAACTTTGGCTATAAAACCAAACCAAAGTAAGCTCATCACTGTCAGGATGGAAACTGTCAAATTAGTTCTTTTAAAAAAAATCTTACCTGCCAGTGTTTTATTTAACATTAACTGAGTGCCCAGTATGTACTAGATACTATAACACACACGCATAATAAAATGTAAAGGGAGGCTCACAGGCTGCTCGATGCGTTAAACTCTGTAAGCTGAGTGCTACCGTGGCTACTTTAGATAATTTTTACAACAGAAAGGATCCTTTTTCATTGAAATCAGCTGGGATTGAAATCAGTATAGACCACGGTGTCTTCCTTTCCTCCATTTGTCTACTCATTCTTTCAGTAATTCAGGCAACAAACACTTGTCGCACACTCACTGTATGTCCAGCACTGCACCGGGGGGACGGAGGGCGGGCGTCAATGAAGTAGACGCAGTCACAGCCTCCTGGGCAGGAGTCAGTCCGACGCGAGATGGTGCCACCGACAGAGGACTCGGAGATGCCAGGGTCTGTGGCAGTAGTACAAAGGGGCTGTACCAGATCTAAGATGTGACCCCCAGATGTTCTTGAAACCCTCTCCTGACCCCAGAAAACATGCCTTCATCACGGTTAATATGGATTATGGAAGGTAGATGGTAAAATGTTTGCTAGTAATTACAGATTTTTGGTCTGTCTGTGTAGAAAACATGAAATAGATTAAATGAGGAAGTCACTGTTTCTGTAGTAATGGGAATACATCCACATTCCTCCCGTTTGTAAAGCTTATCTGTTTAGTCTGTGTTCCTCTGGCTTCACTTCTCCGTCGGGGACTTGCGTGCACTCTGCCGATTCCAAGGCGTGGTCAGTGGTAGGACAGGTGAGCAGCCCGTGACCCGGTAAACCAGGTGGCGAGGGTGCTGACAGTCCCCCCTGCCAGCAGGGGGCACTCCACTTCCTGGGCACTGGAACCATAAGCTCTTAATAAATAGCCTTTTCTTCCAATCCTACTATGTTTCATGCTTTAGCAATTTGTTCTTTATATTCTGTCAGAAGAACACGATAGGAAAATGTTAGCAAATTAAAGCCTCGTGATATGTTAATAAATTACTCTTGCGTTGTTCCCATGCTTCATTGAATTTCTTAATAGGAACTTCTTACAAATGGGCTGAAACTCAACACGGTCCTGTAGAAAAATCATTAATAAACAAGAGTTTAATGTATGAAAATATATCATATTATATGCCTAATGGGAAAATGACATTTGAAGTATAATATAATTGGAAGGAAAATTACTAATAATGCACTATTTTTGTAGTGAAGAGATGACCACTAAGAAGCACATGAAATTCTTGTAGTTATAATTAATACTACAAATGAAAATTTTAATAGCGTTTGTTATCAAGAAAGACCTGGAATATGTGAATGATATTATAAGCCAGGAACATTCTAAAAGTTCTCTAACAACAAAAGAAATTGTTCCTAAACAAATATTGGGATCTAAGTAATAATTCCTAGCAATCAATAATTCTAGAATTTGTTTCAGTAAACAAAAAATAATTTTTATATCCTTTACTGCATAGAAAAAGTTTAAGATGCTATGATATGAACAAACCTAAAAATAGTTGAAAATGTGTCTTCTCTCTTTACACCCCACATAACTCTGACTTCACGAAATTCAGTGCTGTGTCAGTTAGGATTTTTGAATGAAACCTTCAGCCCACCCAGCTCAAATTAGCTTGAACAATACATCAACGTTGGTTCTTATAAGGGAAGATCCAGAGGAGGATCTGGTTTCCAGCACGACTTTCTCCACTGATGCAGACAGCACCACCAAGGACCTGCTTCCTTCCAGGGCTCTGCTCTGCCTCCCTCGTGCAGTTCACACGCACCCTCCACCAGGGGCCTCCACAATCCCTTCATTGGCAAAATGGCTGCAATAGCTCCAGGCCTCACATCATACTACCCAATGGAAGAGAGAGCATCTTGCCAAATAGCAGTCACAGAAAAGCAAAGAAACTTTTCCAGAAATCCCAGAATATGTCACCTCATGTGTCCTTGGTGCTGCTTAAGAGGGAGGGACTGTGTTCACTGGAAATGATGTAAGCCAGTCATTTGCCATGGTTGGAGCTAGAGGCAGAGTCCGGGTCACTGAAGACCCCTGTCCAGGAACGCTGGGGTGAGAGTCCTGTTTCCCAAAGCAAGTGGGCTTAGTGACCAGCAAACAACTCTCGTATAAAGTGTCAAGTACAACATATCTGAGAGTTTGCGCTTTATGATGTCCATAATCCAGAGACTAGCAAATAGACTTCAGATTTGTTTTTACGTGGCTACTACGTGAGTGAGCTGTGCCAGGCAGTGCGGGGAGCCCTTTGTAGCCCCGACTCTCACGTTCACTGGTTAGGACGGAAAAAACAGCAGGCAGTGGGTTGCTTGTGACACACATACAGTTATCAGACATGAACGTTAAATGGAGTCAGAGATAAATTTGCCATTAAGCTAATGCAGCTTAAGCTTCAAAGCTCCTCAAGTTCAGGGGCTTCTTGGTATACCTTGCTCCTAATCGTGCGTCCTAGCTTTGTGTGCGTGTTCTGAAAGGGGCCGGGCGCAGACTGCGTGAGGCTCACCGCCCCGGACCCGCCCCCAGGGCAGATCAGGAGCTTGTCAGGGCCAAGTGAGAGGGTGCGAGAGAATCAACCATCCGGGCACACTGGGCTCTCTTTCTTCCTATCTTTTAAATGCATATCTTGCATACTTCCCAACAAACATTCTGACAGTATTGACAAAACAATGGCTGTCTATTTCTTTTAACTTTTTAAATTTAATTTTACTGAATGTATTAGGGTGACATTGGTTCACAAAACCATACAGGTTTCAAGTGTCCAACTCAATGAAACATCATCTGCCCACTGACTGCATCATGCGCCCATCACCCAGAGCATAGTCTCTCATCCCCAAGCCCCCACCTTTGCCCTCCATCTGCTCCCCACCCCTCCCCCTCTGGCTGTCGGCTCACTGTTAGCTGGTCTGTGTGTTACATACATATGTTCTTTGGTTACTCCCTTCACCTT